TTTTTTTTTTTTTTTTTTTTTTTGGGTACCAGGGATCGAACTCATGACACACTTGCAAACACCAGTCCTTTCAGCCAAGCCAGCCACAAGCTACCCCAGGTCAGGAGAGGAAGAGTCCACCAGGTTAAGGACAAGCAGTTGTTTCTGGTCATCACAGGGGCCTAAGGTCTGGAGGAGAGAAGGTGGGATATGGGGCAGACCTCCCCACAGCATGTGGAGAAGAGGTGCGAGCAACAGTAGCGGGGGATGGGGGCGGCCAAGAGGGGACCTAAGCCTGGGCCTCAGCCACGCAGGACTTAGCAGAGCTGTGCAGATGTGGCCAGGACACATGCCCCTGTGCTCATGATGGAGGAAACAGGGCTCGAGCCACTTAGGATCATTTCCATCATCTCATTAGTGAGGTCACTTTCCGAGGCCATTGTGTTCATGAGCGCGTGCCCCAGCATCTCATCGTCCATGTGCTCACACTCCCCTTAACCTCAAGAGTCCCAGGGGCCAGTGCTCCCCCAGTCTGAGTCCTGTGGGTGGCAGGAAGAACGCAGGTGAAAGGGGACTCCTCTGGAGGCTCTAGCTTCTGAGGCAGGCTAATTACAGGTTTCCTGATTAGGGAGCCATGGGTTGCATTTCATCAGCTGAGTCAGAGCTGATGTCTGGTCCCAGGCTCAAGCGGGGAGGACCAAGAGTGAAGGAAGGAGCCTGGGGGGGCAGACAAGCACGGGTCTCTCCCCCGCTGATTCTCTGCCCCTCCCTTTTCGTTTTTGGGATGTTGGGGAACAAAACTAGGACTTCACTTACACCAGACAAGTACTACCACTGCGCTACTATCTGAACCCTTTTTATTTTACTTTGAGAAAAGATCCAACTAAGTGCCTGAGCTGGCCTTGAACTTGGGATCCTCCTGCTGCAGCCTCACGGGTGTGTGTATCACACACTGGTCTGCCCCTCTCATCTTCCCGTTTTCAAACTCAGTTCTCTCCAGCAGTTGAGAGGGGTCTCAGTGGTCCCAGACCACCTTCCTACGCCTGATGTCTCCTGAGACTGTCCCCAGTCTGTCCCTCTTGCCTTCCCACTTTGCCACGATCATGCCAGGTGCTCCCGTCTCCATTTGCTTCAGATTCCGTCTCCTTCGGTCACGCGCACCACATACCTTGGCAGGACCCTGACCCTGCTGTCCCCTAGAGCCCCCTTCCCCCCTTTCAGAAGCTGCACTTGGGAGCTGCTTTCCCTTTCTCGCTGAGCTGGGAGCCAGGAGCTGCACTCACCCGTGGAGGTAGCTCTGAGAGCCTTTCTTTGGAGAAATATCTGCTTCTTGTGCCTAGAGGTATAGTAGTTATGACATTTCAAAGGCTGCCTGGTCATGAGGCTGGTGCTCTACACCGACTGCTGTGGTCAATCTGAACCCAACTGAAAAGGCTCCCGCAGGTTCTGTGGCTGGTGATCCCAACTACAGCCAGTCATGCCTGCTCCTCACTAAACTGATCTTCGATTTCCTAGCCGTGTGAATTGTGTTCAATACATAGAAACCTGTCCTTTTCTTTTTTTGTTGCGGCACTAGGAACTGGCCCCATGCACTGCTAAGCAAGCACTCTACCGCTGAGCAGCACCCCACCCCCTCTGTAAATGTTTTTTGACAGGATCATAGTTAGGCTCACCTTGAACTCACTACGTGGCCCAAGTTGCCCTCAAACTTTCAGAAATGCTCCTGCCTAAGCCAAATGCTGGAATTATAGGCATGCACTATCATTTCTGGCTATCTTATCTTTATTTCTCATCAAGTTTCTTGTTCTCAGTGACTCTAGCACCTTTTGCTGAAAGGCCCATTTGTACTGCTAATTTGTGATTCCACTTTTTTTTGGTATTAGGGATTGAACTCATGATTTTGCGCTTGCCAGGAAGATGCTTGTGCTACTGAGCTAAATTCCCAGCACATAAATGTTTCTTTCTTTCTTTTTTTTTTTTTTGTCTTTTTCCTTTTTATCGGTACCAGGGATCGAACTCACGACTGCCTGCTTGCAATGCAGGAGCTAATGCCGCTGAGCTAAATCCCCAGCCCCCGATGCCACCTTTCATAGTACACTAAGTTTCCGTAAGCACTTAAGCCTAGTTTTGGATTTTTACAGTGGTTGTTTCACTACTTTGTATTTTTTCTCCCCCATCTGCAAACAAGCTGTTTTTTCCCCCCAAGGATCCTTGCATGTAAGACCTAGATTTGCTCCACACAGAAAAGTGTCCCCAAAATGACAACAGACTCCCTTTTAGAAGAATATTAAAGAGAAAACACCAAATGTTTGAGCAGTCGTGTCTTGATTGTGTGGTTACGGCTGGCGTCATCTTGTTATTGATGCAATTTTCATGGAGAAAAACTTGCTCACCACCCCAAGGTTTTATTCCTCCTTCATCTTCATCTCTATGCTGGTCTGGACATCACGTCACCTTCTGGGCCATCAAGAGTGGCAGGCAGGGCCACACTGGGCAACACTCCCTTGTGCAGAAGGGAGTGTAGATCAGGGGCTGCCACCCAATGCTGTGGCCATGCCTGGTGCAGGGAGAAGGAGGTTCAAGCTCATCTGTACTCACCCCATCCCAAGAAAAACCCCACACACTATGCTGCTCTTCCCAACTAGGGCCTTCTCTCCTCTGCCATGGATGGGCTCACCAGGGACAGTCTCGCAAGTCCCAATTTATCTGGCATCAGCGAACTGATGATTGTCTGCATGGTCCAATACAGCAGCACATGTGACTATTGTGGAAATGGGGCTGGGAGACTAGGAACTGAGTCTTAAATTATATTTGCTTTTAAATCAAGAATCACATGTGGTGACAGGTTACTAGGCTACTACACTGGACAGCACAGCTTTGACCAATTCCCAACCCAGTGGAGCGGAGATGCCACACACGCAGGTGGGCTGGGAGTCTGGGCCAGGTGACAGCAGGCCCAGACTGGCAGCTGGTTCAGGATCGCATGGGAGCTCTGCAGGAAGGGCCCAGCCCACAGCAGCCCGCCCCCACCCCAGTGGCCATCACAATGGCAGTCAGGCCAGCATCACAATGCCACTGGGGGAGGCTGAGCAACAGGGACAGGTCTCTTTGTCTACAGACCTACTTCCAGGGTTTCCTAGGGAATGGAAAGGTGCCCAGCAGCTGAGTAGCTTCAAGCTGGAGACTTACAAGAAGAAGCAGAACAGGGGTAGGGCTAGGGGAGCCCTCTCAGCCCCGGCACCCAGGGCCCAGCTGCCTAGCTTCAGGGAGATAGGATTCTCTTTGAGCATCGAGCAGCTGTTCCTCTTCTTTCTGGCCATTTGGTTCTTCTACTTCTACATTTGGGGCTAATTTTGACAGGGCCTCCCTTCTGCCAGCTCAGAGGCTGGAGGGGCAACTGTAAGCAATCGCAGCTGGTGTGGCCAAACCCCCTCAAGTGAGGACAAGGAGCAGCCAAAGACTGCAGGCTGGGGGCCACTGCACCTCACTTGTACATGGTGGGAATGGAGATCTGGAGACGAAGCCACCCAAGGACCTGGCCTCACGGAGCTGCCCTACATCCTGTCCACAGAGGGCCTCTCACCAGCCTCAAGCTCTGTGCTTCACGGCCCATCACATCAAAGACACTGGAAGTTATGAGTCCCTGTGCAGTTGGAGGAGAGGCCCCTGGAGGGCAGTGGGGGTGTGACAAGGCCATGGGGCCTTGAGTCTTCTCAGTCAGTGGAGCAGACCTTCTGCGTGTTTACTGGGAAGCTGCTATGTGCCTGGCCCCAGGCTCTGGTGATAAATAAAAGGCCCTCGGGGCCAGCCAGTGGCAGAGAAACTTTATTCTCATTTTTTCTTTTTTTTTTTTAAAAGGACTGGAGAGCGCCCGCGGGTCTCGAACCACTGGACTAATCGGCCCGGGCGGTTGGGAAGCCAGACTTGAAGGAACCACTGGGCTAAAGCCAGTCCTATTCTCATTTTTTCTGGAAAAGAAAAATGGAGCCCAGTGATGCTCAGCGTGTTCATGGCAAAGGTGGTGAAAAGAGCACTTCCTTTCAGGGAATCTGTAAAATAAGAAAAAAAAAAAAAAAATGGATGCATCACCAAGGGTGTTTGGGGGCAGCTACACCATGGTCAGGGCCAGCCCTGCCCATCCAGTGGCTCCTGTGCCTGTTTCCCTCCCTCGGCCTGGGGAGCAGAAGCCCAGCACCAATGCAGATCCCCCAGCCTCCGCAGCACCTGTGCCAGAAGGGAGGCAGCTTTGTTCTCTTCCAGGGCAGGGCAGACAGGACACTGCCCAGAAAGGCTCTAGCACTCAGAGCACACTGAGGGTAGAGATGCTGGGGTTCAGGGGACAAGTGAGGTACACAGCTGCACACTGGGCTTCAAACTCTGAAGGGTCACATGAGGGCTGCATCCAGGTACACGCCAAGGAGGAGTGGAAGAAGGTGGTCACGTCTTTGCAGCCACCTTTGTGAACAAATCTTGAGACCTCTGACGAAAACCCTGCCCCTAGCCTGGGGTGGCCTGAGGGGGCAAGGGCAGGTCCACAAGGCTTGCCATTAACCTCCAGGATGAAGCAGGAGCACGACAGGCTGCTCCTCCCCGTATGCTCAGAAGGGCACGGGCCAGCGGGGTGACTTTCCTGAGTCTTCTGGTGACAAGGAGCTGCTTCATATGGTAAGCAAAGTGGCAGGAATATGTATTTTCCCTTTGGGACTCCACAAAGCCAAATTTTGAATAGAAAAAAACAAAGGCACCCAATAAACAAGTGTTTTTCCAGAAATGGGCCACATGTAGCAAGGAGTTTCCACGAGAGCGGTGTGCCTGAGCCTGGCAGAGGCAGGCTACGCAGCCCCACAGTGACGCCCACTGCAAACCCCAAGCAGGGGCCCTCACACATGGGTGGCCTGCAAACTCCAGCTTTTGTCCTTTCAGGCTATTGACAAAAACCAGCCTGTACTGCTCATGGCTGCTCTGTGACAGTCACTTGGATGCATGGATGACAGGAGAACAACACAAATGCTCTCTAAGGAGGCTGTCAATCATCACTTTATTAAGGCTGCGAGTGTTGGCCAGCTTGGGGCAGGGGCTGAGTCATGCACCCCAAGCCCCATGTGGTCCACTTCTGGGTGACCCTGAGCAGTCCACTGCACCCACACCACAGGCCCTGCTGGGGGGGGGTATAGACAACTTGGGGTGCCTTCAGCAGGAGTGCTGGACCTGGTAGGGGCTGGCAGGGGCATGGCAGGTACAGAAGGGCAGGGACATCCTCCCCAGCCCTCCCAGCCCAGCCTATGGCTTTGTTATCTTGTGGCCACCTGAACAGAAGTGCACCCCACCCCCAGTCTGTCCCTGTGCTGCACTGTGAGGTGACAAAGCCTGGAGAGAGAACAGATGGCTCTGTAATTGTCACTGGCTGGTCCTGCTCCCCACTGGCGCGGTCTCCAGCTGAGGCTGGTCACTCAGAAGTGCACCCGAAGCACGTCCTGGCTGGCAAAGGGCTGCTGGCAGGCTGTGCAGGTGGTGGGCTGGGAGCACTGCTTCTCCCCCAGGCAAGGTCGGCATAGGAGGTGGCCGCAGGGCAGCTGGTACATGGGCTCCTTTTTGAAGTAGGGAGAAAACGCTCTCTTGCAGGAGGTGCACTCAGGGCCTGGTGCACAAGCAGGCTGCCCTGGTAAACCGGAAGAACAGGCCAGGATTAGGGAGGGCACCCCTGGGTTCCTCTGTACCAGTGGCTGTACAGCCTGGCCTCTTCCTCCCTGAACAGCGGCAGTGAGCCAGGTCTGGCAAGGCGCTCCATCACCCATGACCAAACCTCGGCGCTCCCGTGACTGCTCTAGAGGAGCTGGTGCCTGAACCCTTTCTCCTGTTCTTCCTGCAAGGTACACGTCCCCTGCCAAGGCAAGAGCAAGACACAAATTCATCCTGACTAAAGGCAAGATGGGACAAGAAAAAGGACCAGAGAACGTGGCCCCATGTGCCAGGGTGAGGGAGTCAGGTGGATGGAGGCCACCCGTGGAGCCAGTCGAGGTCTGGCCGCAGCTCCTCCCGACCTCAGTCCCCTCTCCCATGCTACCCTGGCCTCCTGCACAGGCTCGCTCCACCTCTGACTCCCTTAGGCTATGACTCCCAGCACTCCACTCCACACAGCACTCTTGGCTCTTCCTCCCCCGAAGTCTTCCCCTGAGAAAGCTGCCCCTCTCAAACACAGAGGCTCTGCAAGTAGTAGGAGCTACACCTGCCTGCCCTTCCTGTGGCCACTTTTCCTAGCTACTATTGCCTGAGGGATCCTGAATACAACTCAAACCAATCTGCCTTGGAAAGTTTTCCTGATCCCAGCCCCTCCCTCCACCCATGTTTTTCCCATAATCCAGGTCACCTGTGCCTCTCTTTCTCTTGGCTCTCTCTGCACCAGCTCCTCACCACCTCTTCTTAAAGCCCACAATTTGGCTACCTTCCAGCACAGCCAAAAAGTGCTTGCCTGTCCAGTCCAGCCTCCCTCCACCCTTGGTCTTGTCCAGATGCGTCCAACAATATCAAGTCACATTTGTCTGCTGTTGGCCTGCTGTTCCCTCTGCAGAGAATGTCCTGTCTGGACACATGCCTCACATCATAGCTCCCGGAAGCCACTGTCCTTTCCCGTGCTGCTGGAGTCTCAGTCTTCCCATACTATAGGTTCCTTCCTAGCTCTGAGGCCCCTCAACAGTAAGACACAGCTCTGTGCTTCTCCGTGCATCCTCTGGGCCTCGCAAAGCCTCTCTCACAGCCTGGACTCCACCAGTGCGTGAGCAGTGCCTCTGCCGCCTGCACAAAGGGACCAGGTGTCAAGAAATATGACTCAGCATCCTGAACTAGCACAGCACTTCTCCGGGGAGCACCTGTGGGTCTCACAAGCACACAATGACTTTGCTTACCAGGGACTTCAAAGGTGGAGGGAGGGAGGGAAGGAGGGTGGAATGAGGGGGAGGAAATGGCAGGAAAGAGCCAGTGACTGACGCTCCAAGTGCCCTCCATGCACTATGAGAATCTGCTCTCTCGCATCCCTGGAGTCACCCGGGCACTGCGTTACACCACGGAAGTATATAAGGCTGGGGGTCCCATTAAAGGGTCTTGGAGGCCAAGAGCACCAGGGACATTTCAGAGACAGCAAACAAAGGTCATTAAGAAAGAAAGAAAAGCCGGGGATTTAGCTCAGCGGCCTAAGCGCCTGCCTGGAAAGCATGAGGTCGTGAGTGTGATCCTGGGTACCAAAAAAAAAGAAAGGACGAGGGGGTATGTGAGGAGTGACAGTGTGGCTTCAGGTGACACTGACAGCAGGGAGACTACCAAGACACGAGCCCCCAGAGTCAGCAGGAGGTTAGAATCCAAGTTCAGGGGCCTGCCAGGGAAGGACCCTAACAAGTCAGCTCTGTGACCCCATTCACATTTTCAGAGCACTGGGACTCCTGTGTGGGAAGCCAGGAGGCCAGGGGGGCAGCAGGGAGGAGCAGGAGCTGGCACCAGGGTGGAACCCTGGACCATGAGAAGGCAGGACTCAGCCAAGGTCCGTCCTGGAGGAAGACAAAGAGCCCTGACAATGCGCGGAATGCAGCGGAGGATACTAAAGGATGACCAGTGGTGCTGTGGACTTCTGTGTTCCAGGCCGGGCCACAGCGGAAGATGGGAGGGGAGCAGCCTAGTGGGAGCTGGTGTGAAGCACTGAGGGAGGCCAGGGTCTGAGTGCCAAGGACCGGCAGGGGCCACGAGCAGCATTTAACCGACTCCCTCTTAGGGTGACAGAAGAGGGTCCTGGGCCAGACAGAAGAAAGCTGGCAGTGGAAACTGAAGCAAGAACACTGAAGTCGCGAAGGCCACAAGAGCAAGTGACGTGGAAGGGAGGGCTGCTCAGCACATCTCAAGAAGCCGAGAGGGCAGCAGCCACGGGAGGTGGGGTCACTGCCCACACAGCGTCTTGGGAATGGTCAGGATGTGTCAGAGCAGGCAGAGTGGGGGCGGAAAGGCGGCCTGGAATCCAGATGACAACAGATGGGACTTTGGTTAGGCAGGGAGAGGCAGATGTCTGCCATAGCACCATGCTCGCAGGTGGCACCTGGTAAAAGTAGCCCAGCAATTCCTCTCACTGTCTCCCAACAGAGTCCACTACATAATGTGGGCATATTCATTTCAGGCAAAAATTGCCCCAGGGGACCCTACAGTCTTTCCTAGGACACTGATGAAAATGTGGTAAGAAGAGGTGGTGGTGATGTCCTAAATTCTGAACTTCTCACATGTACATAACGTCCCCCAGCTATCAGATGGGAGGAAACAAGTGAGATCAGGAAAATAAGTGAGAAAGAAAAGTCCTCAGAAGAGAATAATTAACACTGGATGTTACAAGAACAAGACAGCAGAGGGCAGCTAGGCCCCACGTCCACAGCATGAGTAAGGCTGACTGAGGAAGGCCTTTCCCATAGGGTCCAGGCAGCCTGCACCTCCCCAGAGAAGGCAGGCATGGCCTCTCCCCAGGCTGGGAGCTGGCGCCGAGAGGAAGCTGGTCCCCAGGGAGGTCCAGATCTCACACAGAGACGGACCACCAACGAGATAATGGCCTGGGTTACCTGAGCCAGCGTCCGGCCTCCCAGAAGCGCCGCTTCCTCTTGTGCTGAGGTGCTGGAGCGGACTCCGATTCAGTCGGGCTGTGAAGGAAGGCATAGAGCCAAGGGTGGACATCAAGGCCATTTCCAAGCTTTGTGTCAGCTTCTGCTCATGCGATACTGGTTCTGTTGAGAGAGGCACAGACCACAACATCCAGAGAGAGGAGGGGGCAAAAGAAAACCTTAGTCCTCGGAGGGATACAAAACAGCACTTCTAACTTCAGAGACATGTAAATGTACACAAAATTTCCTGTTCTCTCCCAGGATCGTGAAGACAGAACATCACCAGGGCAATTCTGCTAGTCACCCCACACCACACCTTTAAGACTGGGTGAGCTCTAGCATGCCCTTCCTGGACAAAATGTGGGGCAGAAGGCCACCTTGTGGCTCTACTGCAGAACTGCACCGCCTTCCTAAAGGCCTTCCTAGAGCTGTCAAGGAAACCAACCAACCACCAAGCAAAGGCCAGCCTGTCTGGCCACCTTCCCTCCCCAGTGGCCTTGGTGTTCCCTTTCCAGCTCCTCCCTCCCGGACTTTTACATCCTGAAGGGCTGCTGCCTGCATTCTCTGGCAGGTACATAACCTCAGGCACAGAAAACAACCTACAGAATGAGGGTGGAGGCAAGAGAAGGGAGACAGCTGCCCAAGCAAGGCCAAGGACCTGCCTGTCAGAATTTGCATGACTGCCATACATAGGAGAGTGGACTATTTCACCTACAGTTGGAAAACACAGTACCTCACACGTCAAGGCCAACACCACTAAGACCTCCATGACAACTGAGGTTTCCTTGTTTCATTCACTGCATCTCAGATGCTCCCAGAAGCTTCTGGGTCATGTTAACCAAAATATAATCTCCATACCAGGACACACAGATGTAACCATTAAGCATTTGTATAACCTTTTACAGAAAGATAGGAAATTAAAAGAATGATAAAACTGCCAGATATGGTGGCACATGCCTGTAATCCTAGCACCTGGGAGGCTGAGGCCGGAGGATCACTGTGAGTTCAAGACCAGCCTGAACTGCATGGTGAGACCTGTCTCAAAAAAAGACACACATACACACACAGATAAACTCTAAGCAGAGTAGTTTTTTCATAAGGAAAAAAAGCTGTCGAAGAGACATCCCCCAAAAGTACCAGGCTCTGACAATAACCTAGGAAGCCTACCATATATGCAAAGAGTAAATTACTTTAATTCTATTAAATTGTTTTAAAGAGTACAGAAAAGGAAAATTTCCAAGTTCTTTCCAAAGAAAAAGTCACTGAGACAAACACTGACCAAAGATGTCCTCTTCCACCAAAAGATAAATAATAAAGTAAGAAAATGTATTTTTGGCTGACATCAAAGTTAAAGGGTTAGTCAAACAGTGATGCACATTTGTAAATGCAGCTAGTTGGGAGGCTGAGGCAGGAAGATCACAAATTTGAGGCCAGCTTTGGGAACTTAGTAGGACCCTGCCTTGAAACAGAAAAATAAAAACTGTCAGAGATACAAGGATATAGCTTAGTGGATTGAGGACTGTACCTAAGTTCAGTCCTTGGTTTTGGGACGCTGTGAGGGGAAGTCAAAAGGCTATCCTTCACAATAAATAAAGGGCTCACAGAAATAACTTTTAAAAAGACCAACAACAGCCCCTAATGGTGGCACACACCTGTAATCCCAGCACTCAGGAGGCTAGGGCAGGAGGATCACCATGAGTTTGAGGCCAGCTTGGGCTACATAGTAAGTTTAGAGCCAGCCTGGATTACAAGGCAAGACCCTGTCTGAAAGCAACAAAAACAAACAAACAAACAAAAAAGACCAACAACTAATAGGTGCTCACAGAAAAGGAAACAGTTTTTATCAATGAAGAACTGCTCAAGAGGGGGCCTGGGATTTACCTCAGTGGTGTAAGCGCCTGCCTGGTGAGCACAAGGTCGTGAGTTTGATCCCTGGTACCAAAAAAAAAGCTGCTCAAGCTCACTAACTAGCTATGAACACTAAAACAATATACATTTTTCACCTATCACATGATAGTTCGAGAACACAAAGTGTTAGTGTAGCTGAGGATTCTCATACATTGCTGGTGGGACAGCTGCAAGGTCAACTCAACAGCATCTACCAGATTCACAGCATGGAGCTCTGAACCCAGAATTCCCTTCTGTGACACTTTGCTAGAGCCCTCTGCACAGATGCGACATTATATATGGACAAGTGTGATTCAGTATAGCATTATTCCTAACAGCAGAAAATTAGAAACAACCTGACTCACTGAGTGCAGTGTCACATGCCTATCAGCCTAGCCCTTGTGAGACTGAGGCAGGGTCATCAATTGAAAACCAACCTGGGCTGCACAACCAGTCCAAGGCCAACCATGGACTACATGAAAGATCCTGTATCAAATAAAATGAAATACAAACAGGGCTGGGGATGTGGCTTAGTGGTAGAGCTCCTGCCTTGCATGCATAAGGCAGTGATGGGAAGACAGTATACTAATTAAAGCCCTAGAATTTCCACTCAGGCTGCCCTCAACCAGGAAGATATTTTATATTACTTCATTTCTGTCTTCTTTCTTTACTGGAATTAAACATATCACTTGTCAGTCTTATTTGGGACACCACATGGTCTTTCACACAGGGCCTCAGGGTGCAGACATGAACACGAATGTGGGTTCAGCAGAATGAAGGACTCCAAAGCTGAGCCCAGGAAACACACAGAATGAGTGGGGGCCTGGATTACAGCTCCGCGCCAGCAAAGCCACAGTGCTGTTGAACACATGCAGCTACGGAGGTTGCCACGTAAGCCAGGCTGCTCTCATAGACGGCAGCATTGTGAGTCCCAGAAATCCCTGGCAATGCCCTGGGAATAGGCGGGGAGCCAGGAGGCTTCAGTCTCACACTGAAGAACACTGTGACACAACCACACGTTTACCTTTAGTGTGCAGTACCCTTAGTGTGGCTTTTCACTCCAAAAAGGAGGGCCTGTGCCCTACTTCCCTGCTATTTCTGGTGTTTGTGGCACCTCGTGATGTGTGGCAGGGAAGGCCTGACACACTTCCATCAGTATTCATCTGCGAAGTTTGAAATAACACTCCAGAGGAGCCCCTGATAGAGGGAACACAAACTGCCACAAAGGCCTGGGTGTGTGGCGCAGGTCTATGATCCCAGCACTTGGGAGGCTGAGGCAGGGTATTCCAAATTTAGGGTCAGCTTGGGTAATTCAGCAAGTTCAAAGCCAACCTGGACTACATAATGAGACCCTGTCTCATACCTGCTCCCCCCCAGAAAAGGAGGGAAAGCCAAGCATGGTGGCACGTGCCTATAATCCCACACTCAGGAGGTTAAGGCAGGAGAACCACCACAAGTTCAAAGCCAGCCTGGGTTATACAGTGAGTCAAGGTCAGTTTGAACTACACAGCCAGATGCTGTCTCAAAAAAAAAAAAAGAAAAAGAAAAAAAAAAAAAGGATGAGAAGGTAGCAGTATGGGTGCAGCAGGAGGGATGTATGCTGGCAAAACATAGAGCTGAGGACAGCTGTGCCACGTGTCAGCAAGAAGGGCGGGGTGACAATGGGCCATGAACACAGGATGCTGTGTTACCTGTGGAACAGTCCATGTGAGTCAGGCCAAGCTCGCCGGTGGCCTTCATTTTCTTGCTCGAGTGCTCTGAGGTAGTGGAACAGACCAGAGGGTTTGAGGTCGGGAAGCAGGAAGTGTTCACACCCAGGCTACTGTCTGGGGCCCGGTCCCCCTGCTCCGGCTTCCTTTTCCGGGAAGGCAGGGCTATGGAAGAAGGGGTCACTGCCGATGCAGCCTGTGCTCTCCCGAGCAGATAGCAGCCAGGGATGGAGTGCTGGAGCAGGAAGTGGTCTATGCGGGCCTTCAGGGTGGGGTGCGGCAGGGGCTGGGAGTGTGGGGTGAAGGCTATGCCTGTGAACGGGTCACTGGGCACTCGGCCCCACGCAGCCTCACTGCGATTACACTTCTCTAGGGTGCTCTGGTCGATGACCTTGCCTGAGGGCAGCAGCATGGGGCAGGGCATGATCTCCAGGGTGATGGGATCTAGGAACTCCTCTGGCACATCCCGAATCACCTCAGCCATCTCTCGAAGGCTGCAGGGGGCCTGCTGGCCCTCAGGGTCACAGTCACTCTCCATGGGCAAGGCTGGGGTCTGCAGGGCCAACTCCTGAGGAGCACTCTCTGAGGCTACCAGCAAGACACTGTCTATCAGCTCCTGAGAGCAGGTCTTGGCAGGCTGTCCCCACACCTCCAAGCGTTTGATACAAGGGACACCACTTCCTGTCACATGGGTGATACAGATCCTGAGGTGGGCCACGTGGCAAAGGGAAAGAGCCCCTTTATTCCAGAGCTCCTGGGCCACAATTGCAGGGGAAGGGGCTGTGACTTCCAAAGGGCTAAAAGGTGGCCTGGCCTTGAAGCCACGGTGGCTAAACACCACTTGGCTCTGGTTCTTCAGCAGTACTTTGCCTACCAAGGTGAATGCCTCCTTGTCGGGCATAGAAGGCTCCGAGGTGCCCAGGGGCTGGCATTCAGGTGAACTCCAAGAGGATCTGCCAGATAAGGCAGATGTGTACATCTCCAGGCCGATGACATTCTGGCCACTCCCAGCTGTGAGGTCTACATGAATCCTACAGATTTCCACATTGAAGGGAAAGGAAACTGTCACATATACTGGCGGCTTAATGAAATACTCTGTCCTAAAACCATGGCTTCTCTTTGTGAGGTCTTCAGAGATGAGATTTTCTACTTCATAACCATCAGCTGATATCTAGATTTAATGATAAATATAAGACACAGATCCAAATGAAGACAAATGGTTTCCAAGAACTTGTCATTTTTAACAAAACTCTTTATAAATAATGTCTTAAATTCTTCATTTAAAAAGTTCCTCTACTAAGCTGAATTGTCCTTAAGTGTTTTGGAGGTACCTAAGATCAGGTTAAAGGCAACTGTGTTCCCAAATATGGACCAATCTTTAAAAATTAAAAACAGTGGCACTCATAGAGGCTGAGTCAGGAGGATCACTGCAAGTTCAAGGTCAGCATGGGCTCCACAGTGAGTTCAAGGCCAGCCTGAACTACATATCAAGACCCTGCCTCAAAAAAAGAAAAAACAAAACAAGAGCAATAAAAATCTCCCTAACCCAACCAAAAGATCCTTTGTAATGTCTCTCTGCAGATGGAGCACATATACTAGTGATATTTTATTTCAGAGGATATAATCATGCACACTACGGAGGAAACAAAAATGCTCACTGAAGTTCTCAATTTTATGAATAGATGAAGAAAATGCGGTAAATATATACAATGGATCATTACTCAGCCATAAAGGACCAATCTGAATCATTTTTAGAAAAATAGATGCTCCTTGAGACCATAATACTAAGTGAAATAAATCAGACACAGAAGGTTAAGTATCACATGGTTTCTCTTATATAAGAAACTCAAAATATATATACATGGCAAAATAAAAGACAGATGAAGCTGGGTGTGGTGGTGCATGCCTGTAATCCTAGCACTCTGGAGGCTGAGGCAGGAAGATTGCTGAGTTCAAGGCCAGCCTGAACTGCACAGTGAAACCCTATCTCAAAAAGGGAAAAAAAAAAAAGACATGCTAGGAAACAGGAAGATAGACTTTCTGGAGATGGAAAAGGGATCTGGAGATGGGGGAGACATGAAGACAAGGAGAGGGAGAAGAAGTAAAAATGATTAAGATGTGGTACATATACATACTCAATTTTTTTTTTTTGGGGGGGGGTACCAGGGATTGAACTCATGACCTTGCGCTTGGCCAGCCAGCCATTGAGCTAAATCCCTGGCCCAACATACTAATTTTCTAAGAAGAATGTAATTAATATATATTGCAACATATATATATGAAACAAATAATCTCAATTTTGTACTTGGACCCTACCATTTATGATACTCTCCTTAGGAAGGCAGAATTTATAAGGAGAGTTTCTTATAAATCTATGAATGATGATACCTGGCTTAAAAAAAAATGTAGGGGGCTACAGATTTAGCTCAGTGGCATAAGCATCTGTTTGGCAAGTATGAGGTTGTGAGTTCGATACCCAGTACCAAAAAAAAAAAAGGTATATACAGGAATGAGGACCACAAAAGAATATGGGAAGCTGAGCAAGGAGGTACACACTAAGAGGCTGAGGCAGGAGGATCTCCATGAGTTTGAGGCCGCTTTGGCTACACAGTGAGCTCAAGGCCACCCTGGACTATACACAAGAGCCTGTCTCAAAAAGCAAAAACAAACAAACAAACAAACAAAACCCCACATATAGAAAACTTAGGACAGTGAATAGGCTATAAGGTGTGACTTGTAACTTCTTCCCTTTCTAATATTTCCAATATTTATTATAATGGAAATTTTAAGTATCTTTGTCTGAAGGGGTTAATATAACAATCTTTTCAAAATATGCTCTTTGCAAAACCACCAAATTAGGGCAGGGCTTCCCTCCCCTCTTAGTATTTTCATGTACTCTACTCCATGCTATGGATAAATAACATTTTATGTACAAAAAACGTGGCAACTTAGTTCAAATAATAAACAGCAAGGAATTCAAACAACAAATACAAGCCATTACTTCTCGTATTAGAAACTTACAAAAGCTGGCCATGATAAAACTCAATTCTAAACTTTCAGGAGCTGATTTCTAAATGCATGTATAATCCCAGTAACTCAGGAGGCTAAGCCAGTAGGATTGAAAACTCAAGGTCAGCACTTGGGAGGCTGAAGCAGGAGGATTACTATGAGTTCAAGGTCAACACAGACTGCATGGAGAGACCCTATCTCAAAAAGAAGAAGTTCAAAGCCACAGTGGACAATTTAGCAAGACCCTATCTCAAAAATAAAAAGGGGTGGTATGTACATCAGTGATAGGATACTCAAGGTCCAATCACACTTAAAAAGTACCTTCCCCCACACACACACTCAAAAACTGGGAGAGGGGAATATTTCTACCTTTCCTACCACTTTGGGTGGAAATAAAAATGATCATCAAGAGGGAAGAGCACAAAGAAGATGGCTGCACAAAAGTTCATCCCATGATGGTGCTGTGATTCTGGGGGGACCTGCCCCAGACCTACCTACAAATACCAGCTGATAGACTTAGTAAACCTAAAGAAAGTCCAAGAACAAACACAAAATACATATGGCACAGTTACATGTATATATCTGTTTTGTTTACCTTGTTGCAGTGAATTCTTGGTCTGAATTGTGGGAGGCAAAGATTTATTACCATCTTTGTGGCTCATGGGATAGCTTAAAAACATCAGAAAAAATCTTAAAAAGCAAACAGACAGTATTAGACAGGTTAAAACTCAATTCTAAACTTTCAGGAGCTGATTCCTAAGAGAAAAGAACCAAACACAATAACAACAAAAATGTGAAAACACACATATATCCTTACAGTCTATATCCTCCTTGTATCTTAAACGTGATGCTGAGAAAAAATAGTCACTGAAAAACCATCAGTGTCCAGCAAGGCTCCATAGCAAGGCCATAGGCTGGCAAACTCCGCCAGTTCTCCAGCTGGCAGCTGTGCCAGAGACCTTGTGGAGGTGCGTGCACCTGTCAGCTCTGCAGGGGGCTCCCCACAGGACAGTGACAACACACACAGCTGTGCTCAGAAACAGAACAGAGGGTTTGGAATGAAAGGGTCACCCAAAATAATGGCAGTGGTGCAGAGCATCTTTGTCATTTAACACTGGTCAATGCAATTGTATTTTTTTTTATTAAAATATAATTAGGAGAGTCCAAAACATCACTATTGAGAGGTTTTTGGGGGGTTTTATTGAATTCTACTGAATCTACAAAACAATTTAGGGAATTATTATGCTACCTTTATGAAATTCATAGCCGGGCGTGGTGACACACGGCTGCAATTCAGGAGGCTGAGGCAGGAGGATTGTGTTCGAGACCAACCTGGGCTACAAAGTAAGCTCAAGGCCAGCCTGAACTGCATAGAGAGACCCTGTCTCAAAAAGACAAAAAAAAAAAAAAAAGTTCATGAGCACATTTCTATTCATTTATTCAGATTATATCAAATTCCTTCTTGATAAATTAACAAATATCTGAAATAACAATCATAAATGACAGCTGAGGTATGCTGAGTGCTACGCATCGGGCCTTAAATTAAATGTCTAATGTATATCATTCATTTCATTAACCCTTACAACAACCCCAAACAGGCACTAATATTCTTACGTAGCAGGTGAAAAAACTGAGACTCAAAGAGACATTAGTATGGGACTCAAGACTTGAAGCTTCCTCTGCTTCCTGCTTACACAGACACCATTTACTTTGAAGGACTTATCAGAAAGTTATACAGCTTAAAATTTATTCTACAAATACCTTACAACTTTGTCCTGTTACTTAGATTGAAGTTTGACATCATTCACTTAAAAAAATTATTCTTTCAGATTTAAAATTAACATGGCTATCTATAATCTAGGATGTAGAAATGTGGCAACCTTGACTGTCCTTTCCAACAGGGACTAGTCAGGCCTCCAACTGTTTTCTAAGGAAATTCTTAATGGGTCCTACCCACTTCCTCTTCCCACCTGTGTACAGCTAAGCAGGCGAGCTAGTGAAGCGCCTCACCTCCTCAGGGGTAGGCAACTCTATTAACCAACCACTAATTCCTATGGGCCTCTACCTAGCACACACTACCTGCTCTCCACTGCACTTACCAAAGTGTGATTTCAGGGAATAATCGCAGAGGCTGTTCTGGTCATCCATGGTAAGGTTTCTTCAGGGCCAGCCTAGTGGCACCCCTTGCCTCCTGTCTGGCATCCCTGTTGGCTACTGCAGGTCATGTTCCACACTAACACCTGACAGGGTTCTTGGCACTTTGGATCCTCGGCTGTAGCAAAAACAAAATGTAAACATTAATAAAAAACTCAGGGATATGGGTGTAGCTAAGCAGGAGAGTACTTGCCTAACAGACCTCAGGAGCTGACTTTGAGTCTCGGCATTGTGAATAAATAATTGAAAAAAAAATTCAGTGGCCAATCTGGGAAGGTTGTGTATACCTTTATCCAAGCACAGGAGACAGGAGCAGAAGGACCACCACGAGTCTAAGGCCAGGCTAGACTACATGGTGAAGTCAAGATCACTCTGAACTACATAGGTAAGACCCTGTCTCAAAACACACACACACAAAATAATTCAGTGGCCAATCTGCAAAGACTCAAGACACCAGGGTGGGAGGACACATCAACTGAGAATCGTAAATGAGATTTCTAAAATACATCCCTCCTTGCACTAAGCCTCAGAGCGGGATAGTGACCATCTTCGTGTCCCAGCCACCACCATCACCACACTCTTGCTTTGCCCACTACACATGCTCTCTGCCCAGCATTCTCTGGCACTGTGCCTAAGACACAGCTCTGGAAGGTTGGATGCTCTTTTGTTAGGTCAAATGATCATTTTCTTTTAAGATTCATGAGAAAAGTCAGTGTGGTGCACACTTGACTGAGGCAATACAATTGTTGCAAGTTCAAAACCAGCTTGGGGCTGGGGATCTTTAGCTTAGTGGTGTAAGCGCCTGCCTGGCAAGAGCAACGTCGTGAGTTTGATCCCAGCACCAAAAACAAAACAAAACAAAATCAGCTTGGGCTACAAAGTGAGATCAAGGTAGCCTGAACTATACAGTGAGATCATGTCTTAAAAACACACACACAAAAAGATTCATGAGAAAATCTCTTCATTTTCCATACTAGAATAACTGCTTCTCCCAAGCAACTCAAAATTTTATTGATTATATCACTTCTTTACTTAGGCTGCTACAAAGCTTGAATAAACCCTGTGGCCAATCCCTTAAATTTCTCTTTGCCTAAAATCTTTATTTATTTTTATATCATAGAGTATATTATTTACCTCAAAATCACTTTGGAAGAGGATAGGATATAAATTAATAATAAGCCACCAAACACAAGGTGTGACTTTGATCTCCGGTACCAAAAAATAATAAGCTGGGCTGGGATATATAGCTCAGCAGCATAAGCGTCTGCCTGGTAAGCACAAAGTCCTGAGTTCAATTCCTAGTACCAAAATAATAATAATAATAATAATAATAATAATAATAATAATAAACACTCTGCCAGTTGTAGCGCATACCTGTAATTCCAGCACTCAGGGGCTGAAGAAGGAAGATTGCTGTGAGTTTAAGGCCAGCCCAGGCTACGTCATAAGTTGAAGGCCAGCCTGAACTACATAGCAAGACCCTGTCTCCAAAAAAACAAAAACGAAAAACTCTTTTGGGTGGACATGTGGGTAGTCAGCAACCTTTACTATTATAATATTAACATGTATAGTATATTTGTCTTTTTATTTTTTATTTTATTTTATTTATTTATTTATTTATTTTTTGTGGTACTGGAGATCAAACTCATGACCTCGCACTTGCCAGGCAGGCACTTATGCCACTGAGCTAAATCCCTGGTCCAGATTTGTCTTTTTAAAAGAGATACCTTCTTATTAAAATTGCTACTACTGAGGTAGAATACTCTTTCTTCACTAAATTTTGAACCAATTATCTCCATGTATAGGAAGGCTTTTCATTTTCATGTATTACATGTTCTGCTGTCTTACTGAACTCTTACTGACTATGTGCATGTGTGTGTGGTGCCGGGGATTGAATCTAGTGTCTTGAAAACGCGAGGCAAGCCCTTTACCACTGAGCCACATCCCCAGCCCCTGAACTACTAATGTTAACAGATATTCAGTTGATCTTCCTGCGTTTTTCACAATCCCATCATCTCAAAAATAATGACAGTTCCTTTCTCAAAATAGAAACTATAATGGTTGACTGTGTCAATTTGAGAAATTTAATTAAGACAAGCTTAACTGAATCAGCTCAGCAATTCTATGCTATAGGGTACAGAAAACCCATTCCAGGCGGCTATTGTCTGTATGTTTTGTATAAAGGGATCTGCTTCTATCTTTCGGAGGAGGCTCTAGCCAGCCTTCAGCTTGGGAGTCATCGTTTGGTTTCCAGTGCAGACTCCTAAGCTTCCATCACAGACTCTTCAGCCTTCGAGCTCAGACTCTTCGGCTTCCAGCATGGATCCGTCAGTCCTGCAGTACAGACTCTTCAGACTTCTGACACAGACCCCTCAGCCTCATGACACCAACTGACATGGGACATTGCAGTGAACTCTGGACCTCCAGAAGAATCGTTTGGTCTCCAGCATACAGACACCCTCTGCACTCTCCCTCATCCGACTTGTAATGTCATATATACTTGTATAGCTTGTGTTGTATCTGTTGCTCTAGCAAAATACTGACTAATACAATAACTCATTTCTAATCTTTCATTTTACTGCATTAACTAGGACTTCTAGAATAAGAGTTGCTATCCTTATTTGCCATCAAATAAAACCCATCCGGGAAATAAAGTGATGTTTTAAAACTAGAAAAATATCACACGTATGTCAAATGACACAAATAAAACTCTGATTCCCAGTACTGAAAAAAAAAAAAGGAAAAAGGAAAGAAAACTTGATATATAGGGAAAAAATCTATTCATAGTGTATCCTTGATTTTCAAAACGTATGAGAATTTGAATGCTTTATTAACATAGAATGAATATTTTAATCTAACAATCAGCATTATGTTCAAAGAGATATGTTCACAGAGAAAAACAAAGTGGTCAGGTAGTGACACTACTGTACATTATACTGTAATGGTACATACATGGCATACATTTGGCAAAACCCACAGAATTACACAACACAAAGAATGAATCTTTACCATGTAAACTATGGACAGCAGTTAATAATAATGTAACCATATTATACTATATTAGCTATCCAATTTTAACAAATGTACTACATCAATGCAAAATATTAGTAACAGGAAACTGTATGGGGGCATTAATTGCTCAGTTTTTCTACAAACCAAAAACTGCCCTTAAAAATAAGGCCTAAGGGTGTGGGGATTTAGCTCAGTGTCCTAAGCGCCTGCCTGGCAAGTGCAAGGTCATGAGTTCAATCCCAGGTACAAAAAAAAAAAAAAAAAAGGCCTAAGCAGGACATGGTGGTAATCACAGCACTCTAGGAGGCTAAGGCAGGAGGATCACAATTGTGAGCCCAGCCTGACCAACTTATTGAGTGAGTTCCACTTCAAAATAAAATATAAAAAAGACCTGGAGAGGTAGCTCAGTGTGAACATTCCAAATTCAACTTCCAGTAAAGGGTCGGGGGTGATTGGGGTAAAGCGACTAAAAACAAATCAAAAGATTCAGCTGAAATATCCAAAACGGCAAGTGACTATGCCATTATAGGACAAGAATGGCAGAACCATGTTTTAAAAATCTTACAAATAATATCTATTTCTTTGGGATAAGATGATGCTTAAATAGTAGGAACCTATAGGATCTGGTTGTTGTCCAGATCTTTAATTGGTAAGATCTTAATTATCTCTCTGGTTCCAACAGCCTCATGTTTCAAGGTTAAGGGTCTTCTGACTTAATGCTTAATCCAGGGGATGGGGCCCTCAGCATACCAAAAGGTAAAAAGTTTAGCCTAGCAGGACTACCCTCAGAGCTATGCTATACTATGTTGCACAGGCTGGTCTTGAACTCACTGACTCAAGTGATCTTCACAAGTAGCTGGAACTACAGGTGTACCACAATACCCTGTTTGAATATCACTTAACTAGAGGTAAGAAAAGGAGACAGGAAGATCCTAAATGACATGCCAAAGGGCTTAGATTATTTTCCCTGGTGGACTAAAGTGCAAGTGGTTCTTGAACTGTAAATCAACACCTGAGATTTCCAATTACTGAGCCATAACCACTAATCTCTTTAAGTAGAATACAAAGGAAATGTCAGAACACAGTATACATACATAAGTGTGCATTGTTTTACAAAACTTTATTATATAAATACACATTCATTCATTAACATTTTGATGTAAGAGGCATTTCTTACTAAGGGTTGTAGCAAAAAAAAAATTTTTTTTTTGTCTTTTTGAGACAGGGTTTCACTATGTAGTTCAGGCTGGACCTGAACTCACTTTGTAACTCTCAGGTTGGCCTTGAACTCACAGCGATCCTCCTGGCTTAGCCTCTGGAGTGTTGGTATTACAGGCATGCACCACCAAGGCTGGCTAGCAAAAATTACTTTTCTTTTTTTCTGGTCTCGAACTTGCAAATGATCCTCTTACCTCAGCCTCTTGGATTACACAAGTACACCACCACACCCGGCTCAAAAATAATTTTTTAAAATATGTGAAAGTCAGTGGTCAGAGTGAGTCATACCAACTGATTATACCAAGGAGATACATGACACTAATGAAAAGTCTGCCATTAACCTTCTAGATGACAAGCAATTCTGTACCACTTAGAACCAATTCACCTATCACAGGGTCTCTCTTTCTCTGCCTGACATGTCTACTATCTTTCTGTACTCCAGGAGGGCCTATCATTGCAAATGGGTTCTGAAGACATCAAAAATGAGTATCAAGGTACAAATTATTTAAAAATAAGCTGGCAGTCTTAGTTTTTCCTTGACATTTTCTCTATTTTTTTAGAAAAAATATTTTTTTAAAAAGAACAAAGAGAAGCAGGCATGGTGGCTCACGTCAGTAATCCCAGCACTCGGGAGGCTGAGGTGGGAGTCTTGTGAGTTCGAGACCATCCTGGCCTACAAAGTGAGCTCAAGGCCAGCCTGAACTGCATAGTGAGACCCCGTCTCAAAAAAAAAAAAAAAAAAAAAAAAACAACAACAACAACAAAGAAAAGAAAGGGCCAAGAGGGATCCAGAAGTGGGAAAACCAACTATACTGGTCTACCTGGATTTGAAGGGCTTCCCAGAACACAGACCTGTAACACTAAAACTGGGGTAAGTCCGAGGCAAAC